ATTGACTGCAAGCGTAGATTCTTTCTTGCTTGTTCTCTACAACAGCATCGCGGAACCATTGCCCAACAAGTTGCTGAGTCATTGTCCATGAAAGATGTTGACATTTACTGTTTGTTACAATGTTCCATCGAACTATTCACCTAAACCATGGCACGTTCTGCCCACAGGGATGTTGTTTTTAATCTGTATAATTGTCATTGATTGAGATGCTTTTGTTTTTCTCTTGTAAGTTTCTCGAGTCCCCATCACACTGCTTTGATTGAACAGGTTTGTCCAACAGAAGCTATTGAGAAGCAAGCAGAGAGACAAAAACAATACAGATTCTGGCAGTGATCAGTGGGACGGCGGAGTTGTCCAAAACAGCGATATGGAAATTGAGGAGGAGATGGTTGGCTTTTTGGAAGCTAACGCATCATTCCTGATCAATATGACGAAGACGGCAGGCTTTAGTGTGCCTTTGTTGCAGTGTATGTTTTCCCAGGGTGTGCTAGGCTAGGTTAGCAGTCAGTTCCTATCTTTTCACCTTTCTCAATAGTCTTCAAGTTTGTGTCAGGATCTGTCCTGTTTGGCTCGAAAATATTTGCCACCCGGCACTGTGTGGGAGCTCCACCAATTTTATCTTGAGTGGTGCATGGCCCATGCAGTGCAAGAAAGCGCTTCGCACCTATAATGCACATCAGAACATTGTTACTTCATTGGCTTTGCCAAACAAGAAGATACGAGCTTGAAAGTTTGATATGTTCCACCAATCATGACAAACCAAATATTTAAGGTATCTTACATTCTTGCGCCGCTTCAATGATCGATGGACAAGGATCCTAAAGTTCAGGGACAAGACTACTTTTTCGCAGTGCGATATTTGTCAAGAGTTGAAGTCACAGTTTCTTGGTGAACTTTCTATTTTCCGGGACGCATACACAATAAACTACACTTGTAACAACACTGTTTTGTTCTATACCCCAAATATGTTTGACAACGGGATGCTGTGTACAGTATAAGTGTTCCATTGTGTCAATCAAGGTTCTCCGACAGGAAGATCGACATGTCTATACGTTTGGGCGCCTTGCGGCTGTACCGACAACATCTCATAGATCAATACGCCGACCGCTGTGCCCTGTGGTCGCTCAGAGACGTTAGCAGTGATGCATTTGCCAGGACGGTGACTATAGTCACGGACGGCGCAGACCAAGCAACATGGCAACATGCTGGCAGCTTTTATAGAATTTGGTATTGGTTGGTTGGTTTTTGTCCTTTCATTGATGAAGTGGGATCAAAGCTTGGATTGCAATAGGCAAAGTACCAAATACCGAGAGATCCAGAACTCCGCACCGCCCATCGTCTAGCAAAAGGGCAAAGACCAAAGTTGAAGCTACATGCTTGTTGGGCCTATGGCCATGTACTGAGAGTGGCAATCCTGGAGGAAACCTCCTATGCTGGCTCCAGCATGATTCAGGAACTCATCGCTTTGACCGTGGAAGATATCATGCAGGAGTGTTCTCTCAAAGGTGTCAGTCCCCCAGACACGTTAGTGCTCTGTGGGGACAACACCGTGAAGGAGCTCAAGAACAGTTACAATCTTACATTCTGCGCATCCTTGGCCCTCCATCAAAAGTTCAGGCCCATTTGCACAAGGTTGTTTGTGTTAGTGTTGATTGAGATGCCGGTTGCTAAAACTGTTGAAGGCTAGAAAACCTGATTGGCTTAAACAGGTTTTTGGAAAAGCACCCAGTGAGAAGCCAACACTTAGGAACTCCTGCGCAAATATGTGTTGGTTTTCTTGGAAGTGATCATCGATTTGATTGTGATGCAACAAGCTTAAATTCCAAACCCTAGGTATATATTAATGATGATGTTGCGAGTGGCGCACACCCACGACGCCATCGGCAACATGGCAATTGGTCAGATCACTTTTCACTGTCATTGTTTTCCTTTTTCTAGGCCCAGAACCATTTGATCGTCACGTCAGAATGTTTTCCCCACTGGAAAACATTATTGTTCTTCTTGTAGCTCAGCTGAGACCAGCTATGGGGTGTGTTAAGCCGGAGGTTGGGAAGATGCACCAGGATGCTGGATACTGACAGTGTTTGCCAAATAGTTGCAGATGAACTGAACAAGCCGGGGCTAGCATCTTTCATCAACGCCAAGGTGATTGTGCACTGCCTTCGCAACTACAGGGACTGGAAGTCCCACACCTTGCAGTACTCACCAGTCAGCTTTGAGACTCTTCTTCAAAGCACCCTTTTTTCTTGTGTAGATCACTCCGTTGGTGTCCTTCTCGTGAAAGCCTGGAGTTGTTGTCATGGTTTTAAATTGTACTTCTACCACCCAGGCAGGGGGGCTGCTCCTCGACGAAACAGCAAATCATTTCTTCCTTTTCATGCAAAGGAAAGGTGGGGTGTTTCAAAAATCGGTTCAGAAGTCAAACACTGTTGCTAGGAATCGATTCTTTTTGTAGCACGTGTTTGGGTTCAAGAATAGAATCGATCCAATCCCCTGCCAGATTTGCCGGCAAGCTTGGAGACGGACGAGGGCTCCAAGAGGAACAGGGAGAAAAAGCCAGAAGATGTTTTTGTGTTGGTGAAGGAGTACATCAGTAGCACGGAGTTGAGGCAAAGGCCACTACTTGCCTTAACAGCTGAAAGCAAAGCAACCTTCCCTCTTACAACATCCCGTTGCTCGGTTCAGCGAATTAATGTGCAGGTTGTAGCATGTTCCCTGTCCAACCAAAAGTGCACATACTGACATTTGCCCCTTGTTCACCAAATGCTCAAAGCCAAAGACTAAGCAGCACAAACAATACAAACCCAGGCGAGATGCCACCAAGACCTTTGGCAGATCAAGTGAGGGATGGGTGGCGTGAGGTCGCAGCAAAATTTGAGAATTTACTTGGAGGATCTCCAGCAAGTGCACAAGCAGCAAGGTATCTCAGGCTGTTGGCTGACAATCGGTTGCCGCAACATGCACTGCATCCTTTACCGTTTCTAGAATCAGTGGCTCCTCCACAAGTGATGCCTCGTGCCCGCGAAGAACCCCATCCGTGCGTTGTTGCTGTATTGTGCCCCAGCGTGCCGCTGAGGGCAATTTGGCGACGTGGAAGATGACATTAGCTGTTCTATTCCCAGGCACAGTTGGCAGAAATCAATTTTCTTCTTCACCCCTTTTGTTGACAAAGGTCAAATACATGTCATTTTATAGGAAGCGATCTGTTATGAACTATTCCACTTCGCAGTTGTACCCAATTGAGGGACCTATACCACTTCACAGTTGTCCCTAAGGGATGACTTTAGCAGAACATAACAGAACCATTCGCAAACAGGCTCACCTGGAAAAAAATCAGAGTACCAGTACCAGCGAGATTCAGGTAGCTGAGCAAGCTTTCGTCCATGTGCTTGAGCAACTGTTCAAAACCACATAAACGTTCAATTAACTTGCACCACCTGTTGTCTTTTCTGAGGTGGTGAAGTCTTCAGTTCAACTAGCAAAGAATGCTGCAGTCATGCCTCACGTTGTGAGGTTGAGTGCAAATGAATTTGGAAATTCACTTTCATACGTGACCACGTGTGCAAAGCCTTTCTGGACAAATCAGAGGTTCCGCATTCATGCTGTGCGATGGGAAAAGGTTTTGATGACAATCAAATTGCGCGTCAAAACCTATCAGACCCACGACGACTTTGATGAGAGCTAGCGCGCAAATTTTCGTTGTGGTTCGGCTGCCGACCAACGACGATTCATATAGGGGCTAGCTCTACCCACAACGAAAAGTAACTTTTCTGAAAATCTTGATTTCGTTGTGGGTAGAGCTAGCCCCTACATAAGTCTTTGTGGGTCGGCAGCCGAACCACAAAGACTTTGATAGGAGCTAGCGCGAGAATTTTCGTTGGGGGTCCGATAGGAATACGAGGTTTTGCTCATAGATTTTCTTTGTGGGTCGGCTGCCGAGCCACGACGACTTCCCTGGTCCCCAACCCTCACCCACGACGACTTCCCTGGTCCCCAACCCTCACCCACGACGACTTCCCTGGTCCCAACCCTCACCCACGACGACTTCCCTGGTCCCCAACCCTCACCCACGACGACTTCCCTGGTCCCAACCCTCACCCACGACGATTTTTCTCCTCCCCAGCCACCATTGTCTGGCTCCAACCTTTCAATTCCACATGGAAAGGATTTTTGCTTGAATATTGGCGGAAGGACACAGAAACACTAAGTCAAGATTTTTGTGTGTTCACTCAATATGATGGAGTCACCGATGCTCAAAGCAATGGTGGAAGCAGCATCCTTGCAGCCAAAGTCTGAGTCGACCAAGACTGAAGAGACGAAGGTCAAAGCTAAAAGCGAGCATGTCCTTGTCCTTGGGCAGCAATTAGCACGCATGTGTAATCTAGAATATAACATATTGTATAGAGATTTTCTAAAACAGGTTCAACAGGTCAATGGCTGTTTGAACTATATATATGTGTGTGTGAGGAGAACTCAGCAAAGCGGCGCAAGTCAGAATGGCAGGCAGGCCTTTCTAAGCTACCAGGAGATGTTACATTGGTGAGAGTCGCTAAGCAGCATTGGCAGCATTGGTGTCAGGGTTTTGACAGCAATATGTTTCTGAAAGAGTTGTTTGTTTCTTTGTACGCTCAATGTTCATTCTTTGTAGTTGTTGGGTCAAGGAGATTCTTGAGTTTCTATCCCAGTTCACAGACGCATCAGATGGACTAGATGCGAGTGCACAGCCCACTGTGCACCCTTTGACCTTCGTTGTCAACTCATTCAAGACACCAGACTCTGCCGCAGCAACATGTGAGAAGCTCTTACAGTTCCTCCAAGATATTCACAAAATTCATGGGAAAAAGTTTGAACACGCAGTCGTGCCAGTTTCTCGTATGAATTGATCAGTGTTGTTTAGTCTTATGTGTTAATGTGATGGCAAAAACACACACACATGAAACATGTTTCAGGACTGAGTGTTCTTTTTTGAGGATGTGTCATCTTTGAGCGATACAGAGCACATGGTCAGCAACCTCCCACTCAGTTCATTGACGCTGAAGCCACCTCCAGATGGACTTCCATGCATTGGTGACTTTACCACGACCTGCATTTCGTACTTGTTCTCTGGCTCCCGGCTGCACCGGGAGCCACTGGATGTGAATTTCAGTGAGGCAGAGGATGGCACCAAGACCTTTCACTTGAAGAAAGGGTTCACTCGATTGAGACTTGTCTATGCCCAAATTTTTGGTTTGTGTGTGTTAGTTGTGAGAGTCTTTTGAATTTAAGACAGCATACAGCTCTCAAAGGATGGCTCCTTTGATGCTGCTGATCATTGCTAGTGACCTTGACCCGATCGTCGCCAAGGAGATGTTCTGGCAAAAATCAACCTATTGAACTTTTTGGTGTTTGATTTGGATGCTGAACCCCCCCTTAAAGGACCTCATTCTTCCTTTGATCCCAGCCATTGGTGGTCTGTTCAACCTGCCATGCAGCATCAGTGCAAAGCAAGACGCTGAGTGCATCTCATTCGAGAACATACAATTGAGCACACAAGGGGCTGAACGGCAGCGAAAAGATGCTACTTGGCAAAGCCAAATATTTCAGTTGTACCACAATGCTTGATTTTTTCTAGAAAAAGAGTATGTGTGCCACTCCTTTCTACATCAACTCTAGGTGATGAAGCTAGCTGCTCGCTTCGAACAAATGATCAGTGAGAGGAGGCGACTTGAGGAGTACAAAGATGTCAACGACGAGGAACTATTATCATCATTGATTTCGAGATATAACTCTTACAAAGCAAATGCTGCTTTGAAGCGGTGGCAGATCAACGGTGATCAACAAAGCGCTATCTTGGGAATTATCACCGGCATGTGCAGTGAAGCGAGAGCTCTTGTGAGACAACATTTGGACTTTAACAAGTATGAAGAGTCCGGCTACTTGACTGTCTCAAAACAAGCTGTGATAGACTCTGCTTTAGTTTCAGTCTCAAAATTTTCTGTTTTTGTAAAATTATGTTTGTCGTGTCCGTTGTGAGGATACAACGAGTCCATTCTGAGAAGCAAACGACATCAGCTCAACTCAGTGCCCCGGGGAACTCCAGCTTCATGGATTGAACGCTTGACTGTCACTTGTTCCTGTCCAGTATGCATGTTTTTACAGTAACACTTTTATGAACATGAGTAATACTCCGAGACAAGAAAACCACCACAAGGTCACGAAAGAATCCCAGATTCTACACTTCAAGCGCTACAACTACTGGTGGGCAATGAACTCAAGGCGCATGAAAAAGAATTTGCGGGCAAGACTGAGGTGGGGTGAAGAAGTTTGGCAGCGCAGTGTTGACAGTGCATGCCTAGTGACGTGGGCCATTGCAGAAGCTTCCAAGGACCCGAAGGAAACCCGACTTTGCAAATAGACCCCACTATGTTTTGTGTGTTTTTGTGTGTTTTTGTTTTCGATTGTTGTCCTCTCAAAAAGGAATATAGTATATATATATAGTTGTGTTGTGTCTTCCTTTCCCAGTGGTATGTAACAAACTTGAAGGTGACTGAGCCCATGATTGAAAACATGGTCAATGGCTTCTTGAGGGGGATGCTTGGAAGAGTTGGTACTCTTTTCAAATATATATATATATATATGCAAGTAAAGTCATTTTTTGATAAGAGTTGCGGCTTTGCAAAAAGGAAACCTGTGGTGCACATGAAAACTGAGGGACTATGTGCAAGATCTTGAAGCTATCCTCCTGAGCAAGCCCGCCCGCTTGAATGTGGAATCCCTAGCCATATGGCAAGACTATGTTGGGCGAGAATTGGCAAGAGGAGCTCCAGGTAGCGCAGGACCAGATGTGGCAGAGGTCGAGGATGCTGAGGAGGGGATTTGTGGTTATGATATATATATATATGTTTCTATTTGGGTTACCTTCTAATCTCAAACTTTGCCATTCCCAATCTGGTAAGCCCAAACCTCGAGGAGCAGCTAAAGGCTGCTGAATACCAAGTTGTCGTGACCAACCTGTCGCACGACTTCAAGGAAGCCGTGTCTTACAACCTGAGGAAAAACAAGGTTGACGGGAGCAGACATGTGGCTGAGGTTTCTCAGTTTTTACTAACAAATGTTTATTTGGCCTGTTAGAAAGTTCAATTGCCAGTGTGTGTGTATATATATGTGCTCAATTTTGCTCATAAAGCTTAAACCAGGTTTTGCACATGCGAGACCAAATCTCGGTGGGCATGGAAGTGGTCAATTCCTTCATGACAAAACGCGCCATGATGATTGTGGGTGACAAGAATCAGGGCAGCTTGCCAGCGTTGCAAAGGCGCATCATCACTGACGCTACGAATCGTTTCGGTGCCCCTACAGAGATTGGCAAGATGCACCACATCGGCTTCTTGGATTTCAGCAAGTTTGGCCGGCTGACCATGATTGACATCAATGCAGCGGTTGATTGGGCAAAACAGGTTTTGATGGCCAACGAAGACTATAGCCATTCATGTCTGATCAATCTATTTTTATTGTATATTTTTGTTATAAAGTAAAGACTGTTGTAGAAGTGTTGTTTTAAGAAGTGTATATTGTGTGTAGAAACAGGTATGGTGATTGCAATCGCACCTTTGCTCGCGAGCGAGGGAGTACTTGGCGGACTCAGAGGAGAGATGAGGCGAATCGAAGACAAGTTTGTGGACAGTGGATTGGAATGCAAGATGATCCAAGTTCCGTTCGACCTTTCCCAGCTCCATGGCAACAGGACAGGTGGTTCTGGTGGTTCTTTCCAAAAAAAAAGAGGTAAGCAGTTACAGTTGTTCTTACTTTCTTCTCGGCTCCTGAAGGAGTTTTCCTGCACATCTTCCTGGATGGATGATCGTTTTGGAAAGTACCTTAGGTGCAAAACAAGGTACCCTCTTCAAGGCACCTCGTTTCGTCAGACCGTCCATTGGCTGATTCCAACATGTTTTGCAAGAACGACATGTGGTCATACCTTGGGTGTAGGGCCACTGCACCACTCCAGCCAAGCAACTTGGACCAAGACAGTCAAACATGTTGTTTTTGTTTGCTTAAGACCTATTGGCCCCATGTTTACTTTGTATGTTGTTTTATGAGAGTCTCTTGTCTGTCTTGGGTGAGGTGAATATGTCACTCCCGAGAGTGGCACGTTCTTTACCCATGAACAAGGCCGCAGCCCAACAGAAGCTCAACTAACCTAGCCATTTTTTGCAAACCCCGGTGTTTGCTTCCACATGCACAATTTTGATGCCCAGGACAAAGAAGAAACGGCTCAGTGGGTGGCAGCTCCAGCAACGCTCAAGTCGATAATTGAAAGTTGCATGAGCCGGGTTTCGTCGATGAAATCCCAGACCTGCATCATTCATCACTTCACTGCCTACGATGGAAACCTCGAGAAGGCAAGGTGGTCAAAATTTGAGGTTTCAGCTTGTTGGAACAAGATTAAATTCCCATGACCAGGTTGTGCTGGATCTGATGACCGAGCTCAAGGATTCAGTCTACTTGGGACTGCACTCACAGTGTCATTGCCCGACCATTTATGAGTTCGCTTTGACCAGCGTGAAGGATAAGCTGCTAGAGGCAAGTGACTTTGGTTGAACAACTGTTGAAATCTTGTTCATTTTTCCAACACAACATCTAACTTAAATATACAATATGATACAGTATGTATAAAATGTTTCATTTACTTGGCTCTCGCAGGAATGGAAGCTTGGTTCAGGTCTCATTGGGCAAATGACACCAAAGTTTATGAAGGAGGCAGATCTCACAGAGTTTGGTCAACCAAAGGTTCCTTCCCTGAAATTATGCACCATGAATGAGAGTGGCCACCTACAGCTGCCCAAGCCCGTGCGAGAGAAATGGTTGCAAGACCCTGTGAGGAGTTACCAAGCTAAACGTGCTTTGTGTTTTGTAGTTTGACTTTACAAACGTGTTTTCCTTTTATTGAAGGCATCCTCCTTTTTGGTGTTTTTGTTGGGGAAACTTCATTAAATTATCTAAGGTCCGGATTGGCGAATCAGATTGAAGAACTTCGATGACATTTTCCGCCCAGTCCCAGATGGTGGACCTGCCCCTGTGCCAACTTCAGCTGCAGCTGAAACCGATTTGGGCGTCGAGAAGGACACTTGCTCGACTGCTGCTGCTGCTGATTGTCCAACGCCACCAGGGATGACGAAAGAACAATTCGAAAAGAATTATCCTTCTGTTGCTGCCACCTTCACTCTGACCATGGCTGGCCAAAACATCTTGTGTCACTATGTGGATGGGAAGTGCTTCGTGGTTTCAGATTCCACGACCCGCATGGTGGGCATTGCGGCCACCAATCCCTCCCCAATTTTCCTATATGCTGGCGGAAGCTGGATTGGCGACACCGCAAAGGCCAAGTGTTGAACAAAGTCGTGTTTAGCTTTTTGTTAATTCCTTGGGTGGGTTGCGTTCTTGTGCAGGCCCGGGATTTCTTGTCAAAGTCAGAGAATGAGAACAAGGCTGTCGAGTTCCGCTTGGAGACAGGCGAATCCAAAGTTCCGAAGACTTCATTCAGTTAAGAAGATTTGGGTTGGTATTGGTATTATGTTTAAAGAAAGGGTCATTTGTTGTCAAGGTTTTTGTATAATTTGACATGCTAATCTCATTGAGGTTCTTCTAGAAGAACAAGGCACTCAGGGCACCTCAGATTCAGCTCCTATGTCATTGTTTGCACTCATCGTCAGCATGGAGAAGCGGGGGCTGCTAGACCTGAAGGTCACAGGCCATAAAGTGGATCGCCCAGTTGAAGTGAAGCGCGGCGAGTCCACAGACAGGATCGATGTGCAGCACGAGTCTTACAGCGTGTTTCGACCAACACAGGTCCAGGTGAAATCCCTCAAGCAGACCAATGCGGCTGGCCATATCGGATACAAGGCATTGAGTGCATCTCAATATTTGACCCTGGTGTGGCGAAGCTCATCTGCCAATTATTTGATGGTTTTTATGTATCCCATTCTCTTTACTTTATGTCTTTACTTTATCCCATTTATCTTTTTTGTTATGCTCTTTAGGTATGAGGCACTACTCTCGCGAGAAGATCCTGGGCCCTGCCAAACCTCTGTGGTACGTGAAGGGGAATGGCTTTCAAATGGAGAAAGGGACTCACTACCAGATCGTGTAGTGATGAGACATAAAGAGCGGGTGACTTGCGCTACTGCTATCACATTTTGTGATGAAGTGCCAGTAGCCAGTAGTCAGGTTTTGCTTTCCAAAGACCATACCATGGGGGAAAAGAATTTGCTGCGTATGATCACTATGATGTCCACCTCGTTTCTGCACGAGTTTTGATGTTTGTTCATGTGTGGGTTTCCAATGTGTTGAGAAACTGTTCTTATGTCACATTTGTTGCACAAAAGCCATTTGAAGCCCTTAAGCTTTTGATTTGCTCTACACTCGTCTCTTGGCCATGACTTCGAGTGCTATTGCTGTGGATGTAAATGAGTCACAGATTGACCAACAGCTCATCGACAAGCACTTGCAAAAGCAGGTCCAGAAGGATGAGGGTATGGCTTCCAGCGCTACGACAGCCAAGCTGCCAACAAGTACAGGTGAAGGTCCATGCTCAGCACGTGTTTCTAAGATTCCTGTGTTTGATGACCTGGAGCCAGTATGTGCTTTCAAGGCAAGCGCAGCCTTAGATAAATTCATGCTGCGTGCCCATCCAGTACCAGAAGCTAGGAACAAATTATCTCAGCAATTTGTTTAACCCTTTTTTGTTTGTTCTTGTGTAGGACAGTGTAGGAGTAGTTTGTTGCTGTTGCATTGAACAACTTGGGGCCCTTTTGCTGATTCAGGCGGTACCGGAAAACATTGCTCGGCCATTGCGGCGGGGAAAAAGCTCAACAGATGTTACACGATGTTTGTTCCCTGAGTCTCCTACTTCGTCGGGACAGCCCTATGAGTACTTTGACAAGGGTTGGACAGCTCTTGATGACATGGCGCTTCAGCGAGACCTTTCTCAGAAGCTAGACGTTGAGGACAGTCAGTTCGATGGGCCCGATTTCACTCCAGAAGACAAAAGGACTCCTTTGCACCCAGCTCTTGAAGAGACCAAGGCAAATTTTGATGCTCCATCCATCATCCCGGAGACCAGCCCTCACAAGGTTGTGTCCAAGTTCGTCTTTGACCCCAACCAGCTCAAGGAGAGGCAGGCCCAAAAAAGGAGACAAAGCTCTTGGGATGGTTGTTGTGGCTTCTGGGATGGATACATCTCTTCTCCTGAGGGCCCAGTTTTGGACACTTTGCTGTGTTTTCAAGACAAATACACATTTTGTTGTGATTTAAATTGTTGAGATGTTATTTGAAGATATGTTTGAACATCATATATTTTGTTTCCTATAAACACATCCTATGTGAGGAGACACATGATGAGGATGGATCAAACAATGCTGGGAAATCGGCAGTTCCTACATCTTCTGAGGCGAACAGCGGCACGATCGACACTGGTGCAAAACCTGATGAACATGGACAAGTGGATGTGGAGGTACCAGCGACGGGTGGTATGAAGCGTAAAGCTCACCAAACTCCGGATGTGATGGATATGGATACTCGTTATGTTTCATGATAATTTTGTATGTTTTGATCGTGTGGTTTCAAAATCAGCGGTGGGCGTGTCACATTGCTGGATGCTGTGAGGAAAACACTGATGAACCATCACAAAAGAAGGTCATGACCGAGCAGGAAAAATGGAACGCAAACGAATCACTTCTCGGGAGTGGCATCGCAACTACAAGTCCAAGGGTGTTATTCAGAAGCATGCTAGTTTTTTGTTTTGTGTGTGGGAGGGGTGGGTGCCTCTCTATACAGTATTTTAACGGTAGAAGGCACCATTGAACCCAACAACGCAAATGAGGTTCTGCGTGGCGAGAATGATGTGGAGTCTGACAACTCCAAGAAGTCCAAGGATGGTTCCAAGGATGAGAAGTCCAACAAGACCAAGAAGGCCAAATCCGAAGCTTCTAAGCCTTCTAAGCCTCCTTCGGTGATGCACACAGCTCGCTGGGATTTTGTTTCTTAGGATGCAATCATTTTTATATCACTTTTATTTCTTTTATGTCATTGTGCATTTTTGAATTCAACAGCAACATATACCCAACAAAACAATAATCAGGTTCGGCAGTACATGGCAGAGAACCCGGGCAGCAACATCGCTAATGCCAATTTGGCATGGAGCAATTCTGAAGCAAGGGCCAACATTTTGGGTGGCCGGCAGGGGCTCCAAATGTGAGTCTTTAAGCCGAAGTGAGATCTATGCGGATGTGGTATGTCTTATGGGGTTTGCAGATTCAACATGAATCACTGTGCAATTCAAAGGATCGCTGTGTGTGACTTCGCACATGGCTTTTAGATGTGATGCCTCAGGGAGGCCTATAGGACCAAGACTCAAGAGATGTGGAAAAAAACGTTCGTCTCGAACTATTGGATCGAAACATGTTTCATGACAAAGGTTCACTGGTTCACTGGTTCCTTGCTGAATGTTGTGTCAGCTACCTGTGCTGACAAGCTATGTGTTATATTTGCACTACGTGTCTTGTGTGCGTGTGGGTACAAACAAACCACCTCTGTGCAATGTTTCTTCTTCAAAAAACTAAACAACTTCGAGTTTCCCCACCAGCCAGAGTACAAAACAAGGCCCTCTGGCACAGCCATTTTTTCCAGACAACGACAAAGTATATCACATCAATGGCAAACAGTGCCAATGTCATGATCCCAAGTCTTGGTATGATTGTTTTGCTATGTTTTGGGTCTTGGTAGCTGAGCATATTATCCAGCACATAGACAGCTGGTTGCTAGAAATTCACAGCCAGTTACCACGAAATTAACTTATAGTCCATTGCCACTGTGGGCACAAGGCTCTTTGCCTTCTGTTCCTCGGACCTCGTCCGATGCGGCTGTCCTACAGCCCGTCCGGCAATGCAATGCCGGCACCAATTTCGATACTGCACATGGCCTGTCGCCTCGTGCTCTTCGATCTCAGCCGGAGTTGGATCCTCCGGTGCTCTTATCTGGATGGGTTTCTCAACCTCATCAACTAATTCCAACTCATCATCCTCTTCTCGCCCCTCTGGACCAGGTCGGCCTGAATCCATAGAGGCATCTCCTCTTTCTCCTGCGGCGTTCAACTCTGCAATGCCACAGCATTCCTTGGTCGGTTTATACCCTGGCTTTCTCAAGTAGAAATTGTACACTCCCTGCTCTTGATACACAGGGATCCAACTTCGCTGCTCTGCAGCGCTCGCTTTCTTCAGGATCGCCTGAACAGCCTTTCCAACTTTGGACCCTTGCGGAATCAAGTTTCCGCCATTCACATCAAGAACTGCAATCCTTCCAAAGCCTAAGCACTTGGACGCTGAAATCAATGGCTTGTGAACATCGGCCATTGAGCCTTTCACGCGGCATTTGTTGCCGCTCTCATCGAACCCTTCAAAGG